AAGATGAGCTTCATATACTTCTCTCATATGATCAAAATATGTATTCAATAATAGAGCAGATGGAAACAGAAGCGGCTGGCAATCCGGGGATCATGAGTTCGAATCTTGCTTCGAGAAACCCCTCGGTGGAGTAGAGGTAAATTATATATAGGTGTTATTAATAAAAGCAAACATTAATTTAAGACATATATCATATAATCAACGATAACATTTCTAGATAAATTCTCTCAATTAATGAATAGAGAGATTAATTGAAAGAATATCAATCAAAGATTAAACAGATGCTTGTTACTACTTCCTCCATGATCACAGAATGTGAATTATGGCATAATTACATATTTTTTCAATGTGCACAAATAAATTAAATTAATAAAAACTGTACAAGCAATTATTTTGGCGTACCACGACAATTGTTAAACTAATTTTAATCTGTGAAAATTGTGAGTACTTACACAACGGTTATTAAGGAGTCATTAAAAAGTGCTATAAACGCTTTTCACCGCTTGCTGTATAGTGATTATTTAGGAGTCATAATAGAGTGTAACAAACGCCTCTCAGGTTCAATCTCTAATACATTTCGAAGCAGCTGTTAGGAGGTGTCTACAAACGTTGTATTAGAGCTTTCACCAAAACAATAAAGCTTGAGTTTAAATATGTATCTATAAACGTTGTATAAAAGTTTCTTCTATCCGGTTATTAATGAGTCATTGAATAGTGCTATAAACGCTTTTCACCGCTTGCTGTACAATGATTATTTAGGTGTCATAAAAGAGTGCAACAAACGCCTCTCAGGTTTACTCTCTACTAAATTTCAAAGCAGCTGTCAAGAAGTGTCTACAAACGTTGTATACGAGCTTTCACCAAAATAATAAAGCTTGAGTTTAAATATGTATCTATAAACGTTGTATAAAAGTTGCTTCTACTCCTATACCGCGTATACATATAATGCTGTAGTTGAACAGGTTCTCCAAACCAGTGTAAACAAGAGTTTTACAGAAGTTGTAATAAACAAATTGTGCAGTTATTATTCAGCATGCAGTTGAATAAAATCACAATGGAAGCGTTTCTTCAACAAGAAATTGATTTTGGGTAAACGTTTTACTGAATACGTTAGACAACACCTTTGTGTTGCAGTTGTATAGGTTCTCCAAACCAGTGTAAACAAGGGTTTTATAAAAGTTGTGGTGAACACACTGTGCAATTATTATTCAACATGCAGCTGAACAAAATCAAAACGAAAGCGTTTCTTCAACTGGAAATTGTTACTTGGGTATGCTATGAACCAACTTTCCAAAGCAAAAATTAATAGTGGAAACCATAACTAACAGTGAAAAATGTGACGAGAGAGTGATGGATAGAAGGACAGGAGGTAAAACGCAATAACTGCCATTTTAGTTAAAATAGCATGCTAAATGTGTTTGACCAGCAGGACCCCACTGTATTTAGTACTGATCCACTGTACTGTGTTAGGATCCGGTAAACGTGCCGGAAGGTTACACTGTCGCTGCCTGCCGGCCCGAGTACGTCACCAATTCGTAGGCCCATGACGTGCAATGTGGTCTATACAAGGTGTGAAATTCATGGGCTGTATGTATTGGTGAAGCTCGTTTTTCACTCGGTTTTCATTCGGCTTCGCACGATTCGCTTCTTTCGAACCTTCAAGTACGCTCGTAGTGACGTCCTAACGTTTGTTTCAATCACAGTTTGCATAGGAAATTTAAAATGAAGAATAGAAATTCTGAATGAAACCAAAAGTTATGGATGTTCTTCCACTGAATGATGAGATAATTTATTGATTATTGTATTATCACACTGTATACCATGGAAAAGAAGCCTGCCGGTGAGTTGGTGCCCATTTTCAAGTGAGGAGTTATCATTAAAAAAATGATGGGGTTGTGTACAAGACACGACCGCATGGTTGACGTAGACTACGTTAAGCTGTGTAGTGAAATTCTCGTGCGTTTTTCTAGATATTGATTTAGAATACAGTAGAAGTAACCTATGATTTCGGTCCTATGTACATATGTTGGATTTCCTACTTAGTAAAACTTGGTTAAATTCAGGACCTCATAAAAATGCGAATACATATTCTATTTCATTTGGTTTCTAAATTACAATCAGATATGAGTAAGGCTTTCTTCAGGTGATTCATTGAAGCGTCCAACAATGACCGTCATGATGGCTGATATTCTAGGACACAAATCTTTGACGGTTGTGACATCACTCATGAAATTGAAACACCTTGTGTACTGAACTGCAACAAACGTGAAGTCCCAATTTCTTAGTTATAAGTTTTGTGAGAGCTGATATCTGTACTCTTGAAATTTTTATGTGGTAATGAGATTGATCAGAAATAAGGTTTCCTCAGCGATTCAACTTCAAAACGCTAAACGAAGTGCACAATTTTGCGGCAGTGCTATGCAACATTTCATAGTTGATCGGGATATCAATTAGCCATAAATCCATCCAATAAGTTCTCGGTACATCTTTTATCTAACGATTGAACAAATAAAAAAAAATAAGACTGTGGAAAATTATCACTTAGATTTGACACTTCGAAAATAAATTAAGATGTTCGAATATCCCTGTTGTTTATCGGCCGATTTTCGAGAAAGCGTCTGTCAAAATTGATTCCTTGTCTGTCAGAAATAAATCTGCTGGATAAGCAAGTTTATTTGAAAATTTTCCATCTGTCAAATTTAAGTAAACATTCACCAAATGGAACACAGCCTTAATAACTCGTTTATTGTTGTGTTTGTTGTATTAGATGCGAGATAAAAACTTCTTTTATCGCTATGTGTGCTGAAAATACCTGAGCCGAGTGGATTCAAGGAGAAAGTTGACGAAGAGAATCTTGTCAGTGTTACTTAGGTCCTAATGCAATGTTCAGATTGAATTGTTTTGCTTAGCTGTAGCAATGTAAACAGAAAATCGATGAAGAGAATCGAACATTACAAGTAGGCCCTTTTGAACGCTCACTTTCGAATTTCAGAACCTAGCACTGAAAAAACTCGATGGTACCTCTATTTATGCTAAGAGATAAGCATTGCAAGTCCCTCCTACTTGAAGAATTATGCAATCGAACGGCTGGCTATGCCTCGCCCCCATCAGCCAAAAAAATGGGGTTGTATAAACCATGCTATTTCATAATTTTCCAAGTAGGAGGGACTTTAATAGCTAATTTAAAAGCATAAATAGAGGTACCGTCTGATAATTTCAGTACTTGGAACAGAAAACTGTAATCTGTGTAGGAAAATCCTTCTTATCACCACAGAAACACGCCGTTCACGTTTTCTTATGCAAAATAATGAATGTGCGTTCACAAAACGCACGAAATCTTAAAAAACCATATTAAGATATTTTTTTAATACAATCAATAGATTAAAGATGTACCGATAATAAAATAGAGGGATTTCAAACTTAAATGTTCTGATCGCGAAATATTGATGATCAATACCGAAATTGTCCAACCCGTTTTATGTGGTGTGCTGCTGATTTTCAGTGTTGCTCAGTCGGAACTTTCATAAATAACGTAGTAGTTGAGGGAGGAGAGGGGTTTCAGAAGTTGGGACCGGCCATGTATTAGGTGTATTGCAAAACACGCTCCGAGGGGGAAGGTGGTCAAAAAAATATACGTAATTTATGGATGGCCCTAATTTTAAAGTTAAAAAAAGAAAAGAAGTTAAATTTTGGTAACCGTGGCTGAGCTCTGTTTGAATTTCCGGCATTTTCGAACATTGAAAATAACATACGAAATGTCACGATAAAAAACTCGGCAATTGGTACACAGCCCACGAAGTATTTCTGGATTATTTTTTCGAAGGAACGTATCAGCTTTTGTAAACAACGCATTTGATCGTCGATTTGGCGTAACTGGTAGCTTACCCACGCATGCTAACACTACCATGAGATAGAGGAAATTTTCCCCTACCTGATATAGTGGTGTTAGTATGTGGGGCGAGCTATTAGTTATGCCAAACCGACGATAAAATGCGTTGTTTACAAAAGCTGATATGTCCTTTCGAAAAGTAATCGAGATTTGCAGTTATCATTCAGCCAGGGAGCGCTTGCGCCATCGAGGCGACGCTGCTCCACGGGAACGACGCGCAAAGTTCGAGGTGCAAAACTCGAACGCTGCGCGCTTGACAGGAACCGCCTTCCTACTGCTGCTACTGCTGCTACCTGCTTACCCGCCGTCCGAAGCGAAAATGAGTTGAGGCACATTAGCAGCGCTGTTTTATAGCTTTTCAGATTCAAGCAGCACGATGTGCAACCAAATTCTACTTGATTATGAGGACTGGGTTTGGGGAGAACGTTTATTTCATGAAAACAGTGATAAAATTATCACTTTTTATTTGTCCATTTTTAAAACAGTTTTTTTTATGAAAAATTGCAACAGCTTACGAAAGGTATTTCCTATCGATTAATGTATTTGGAATTCAATTTCATCTATAAATGACAAAGTTATAAGCGTTCAAAATCTTACACCTTTTCGTGGTGGTCGCAATTTTAGATTTTCGATTTACCCCCAGTACCTTCCCGTACGACGTAGTCTACGTCAAAAACAAAACGCCAACTGATATTTTATGGAGACTTTTACAACCAAGCGCAATCTTCATGAAATTATAGCTAGGATTTGCTGTACTTCATATTTCGCAAATTTCCTTTCCAGTGTTATGACGCCATGACCATCCTCTCCCGCAATGTTTACCTTTTTCTCTCTACCAACACATATGTGAGGTCTAGATCTCCACACCTTGTTTAGACCAGGTTGCATGGTGTGTGACCCGTGGTGCTTACCATCGCTACCCCGTACAAGGGCCCATTCAAATATTACGTACCGCAAGAGGGGGTGGGAGTAGTCTGGATATTAGGTATAGGAAAAGTGCCACTTTTTTGTGTTACTGACTGAGGTGGCCGAGACTTACAAAAATGCGTCCAACTTCGACTCCGTCTCCGACAACCCTGGACGAATTTCAAAACATGTCTTATTCACTCACCCTGCTCTGACGCTCCCTTGCTCGCGAGACTTGACAAATCCTCCGTGGCACTGTTTCTGTCCTCTTGAAACGAAATCCTTTTCTTGTCGGCCGAACTGGACGAAGCAGATGTATAGGACGCTTCCCGAGTCTTCAATGTTTGGAACTGCCCGAAGTAGTTGGCAGTCCTGAACTCCTTCTGGCAAGGAATGGATGGAAGCATTTGGTACAAATTCTCATTCGGAAAGTGTGGATATAAGAAAGATATGAACTTACCGCCAGATTCTGCGCATACGAGTTCGACAGCAGCAAGGCGGTATTGCTTTGCTTCGGTTTGTTACTGTCCGTCAGGCTATTTTGCTGTAGCAAAGCGATCCTCGGCAGTATCTGGCTTATCCTGACCTGTTTCGGGGAAGTCCGACGGGGGTTTCTCGAATCCGAATCATCCGACAGGTGAATCTGCTTCGGTGAAGGCGGCGTACAAGGTGTTAATGGGAGGTCTTCTGGTTGTTGATTTTCATCCTGTAATTGCTAGGATTGATAACGCTTCATAGATCCAGTGTGTAAGCGAATGATACCTTTACCTCACATGCCAATTCCTGGTCTGGTTCAGGCGACAGAAATTGTTCGCAACTGTCGATTTGTATTCCAGGTATCGAATCTAACTTTTCTGTCATTTGCTCTGATTCGGTTTGAATTTGGGCATCACATTTTGAATGCTATTTTTAAAAATAAGGAGAGAATGTTAATTTCCTTAAGCAATCTGAAAACAACCTTTTGAGAAAAAGCATAAGAAATAAGAAGACTTGTTTTGCGACATGAAATGCAATAGTTTAAACTGTCTATTTCCTCCATTAACATGGTAACACTTTTGAACTCACAGAGATGCTTTGGAGCCTACTAGTTAAGATAAATATGCTACTATTTTACTATGTTGTGGATAGAGTTTACGAAGAAAGCTAGCGCAGAAGATCACGTTCAACGTACCGGCGAAGCGGGGACACCTTTGGCGGGAGAAGCTGAAAAGCGCAAATTTTCATCAATCAAACCGCTCTAATGCCAGAACTGTGACGACCGTACCTTCCAAACTCTTCAGATTATCCTCCAATGCCGATTTTTCCTCGACCAGGGTTTCGTTCTCCGTTCGCAAACCCTCCAACAACACCGACAGGGTGTCGTTGTCTTGCTGCAGGGTCTTGAGCTTCTCCAGTAGCATCTTCTGGGCATTTTTCGTCACCGCTTCCTCTTCCTTCAGTGTTTCGATTTGCCTGCCCAGGTCCTCGTTGTGACTGCGCAGTTCTTCCAGCTGAAAGCGCAGCAGTTTGTTCTCGTCGACGATTTTCGTGAAATTCTCCTGCTGGCGTTTCAGGAAATCACGTTCGATCTGGAGAAAGCAGAATTGAGGAATGACTTATTGACGTTTTTTCTGCTGTAAACTCCAGCTCTGTTGAGGCTTCCAAGACGGATCCAATGAGCATGAGCAACATTTCCATGAATTCGTGGAGTAAACATTACAGGGTGATTCAGAATAATTGTCAATGATTTCACAAATATGCAATTCTCAATGGGTAAAGTGGGTATATGTTCAAGTATTTTTGTTTTAAAGTGTGTACAATAATCAACATGTATTGATAGTAGAATTTTAAATTTAAGGCTTGTACTCGAAAAAAATGCACAATTTTTATCCGTGTGTAACTTTTTTATCCGTGGGTACAAATTGATGAAAATCTGGGTATAGCTAGTTTGGAGTGAATTCGTGAATTGTTTACATGTGCAAAATTTCATAACAATCGGTTCAGTGGTTATTGAGATGTCATCGAAACAAGAAGAAAATCGCCGGAGAATTTTGCGCACCGTCATGGAAAATCCGACTGCGACCATGAGATGGATCGGAAGACAACTGGGAATCACCCATACAACTGTGTCTCGGGTGGTAAAATCGTTCAAGGAGTCCCAGACGACCAAGCGGCGGGCTGGAAGTGGAAGAAAATCGAAGACAGCTGACCCTGTGAAGGCCCGGAAGGTGTTGGATTATTTCAAGCGTAATCCGAACCTTTCGATTCGCGACGCGGCTCTGAAGGCAAAGTGTTCCGCCTGGTTCGTTCAGCAAATTATGAAACGAGCTGGAATTCGTGTATTCGAGGTCCGGAAGGCACCGAACCGACGTGATCAACAAAACACGGCGGCCAAATCCCACGCAAGGAATCTGTATCGATAGTGGTTAACGAAACCGATGTGTGTGGTTAAGGATGACGAAACCTACATCAAGGCAGACGCAAAGCAGATACCGGAGCTGGAGTTCTACGTTGCCAAATCACGGTTTGATGCTCCGGAAGACCTAAGGAAGAAGAAAGTGGACAAATTCGCCAAAAAATACTTGCTCTGGCAGGCCATATGCCAATGCGGTAAACTGAGTAAACCGTACATCACAATGGGTACCATCAACAGCGAAATTTACCCCACCGAGTGCCTCCAGAAGCGTCTGTTGCGCCCTTTCTGCGGTCCCACGGAGGCGAGACATTATTTTGGCCGGACCTGGCATCATGCCATTACGCGCGATCGACGTTGGATTGGTACAGAGACAATAACGTTGTTTTGTACCAAAAACCGCCAACCCCCCAAATTCACCAGAGATTCGTCCGGTGGAAAGATTTTGAGCCATAATGAAGGCCAAAGTTTGAAAATCGTCCAAGGTGTTTAAGAACGAGCTGGAGTTGAAGAAAGAATGGATGAAAGTGACCAAAAAGGTCGGCTCCACCATTGCACAAAATGTAATGAGGGGTCTTAAAGAAAAGGTGCGGGCTTTCAGCGAATGTAGTAGTTCATTCCCTGAAAGTTTCAAGAAAATCCGACTTAAAATAAATTTTTGGCTAACACTTTTGTCTGGTCCATTTTTTTCGAGTACAGGCCTTAATTCGTTTGCGATTTCAAGAAGTCATGGACATGTAAATAGAGCATAGCTATAATTTTTTCAGAGCGAAAAAATCGAATTTTGCAACGAGTTGCTTACCAATTTTTTTGCACTCAAAAGAGTGTCGAAAAGTAGAACTTTTCGGCACTGGATGCTTTATTTTAGTTAGGAAAAGTATGCCATTATGCTATTCAAAACAGTGTCAAAAAGTGACACTATTCAGCACCGAGTGCCAAAAAATTGTTTGGCACTCAGTGCCGAAGAGTGCTACTTTTCGACAATCTTTTGAATAAGATAACAGCCTACTATTCCTAGCTAAAATACTACAGCCGAAAAGCGCTTATTTCCGACACTCGTTTGAGTGCGATTTTTTTCAGCACTCGTCGTAATTATCCAACTTGGCAAGCCTCGTAGGATAAATGTACGATTCGTGCTGAAAAATTTCGATTTCGCAACTTGTTGCATGAATAACTATATTTGGCTGAAAATTGGGTCGAAGTTTACTTTTCAATTCTGATTTTTTAATTGAAAATGGCATGTTTATATATCGTGCAATATTGGCTAAAAATTTGAGGAATAGGTTTGAAGAGGAAATATTTCTGTTATAAATATCTCCATAATGTGTATTGAAAGTACTGAAAGTCCCCAATAATGTTTGATTTTCAGCTGTTCGACATTTACACTGTTTAGTTTTGTAACCTGATTTAGGCACCCCAAAGTTAGCTGCTAACATAAATACCTCCACCTCGGACATGTTCTCCTTGATCTTTTCGATATTCTTCTTCAGCCGTTCGCATTCCTCAAACAGCTCCGAGTTCTTATCCTTCTCCTTCCGAATGTGCCCTTCCAGTTCAGCTGCGTGGAAATCGAAATCATTTTCAAATCGCGCAAATTGAAATTCAAATCATATTCAACTCACCTTGCTTCGTCAGTTCCGCCTCCAGGATCCGCCGTTGCTCGTCCTGCTGCCGCTGGATCTGCTTGGCCATATCGTCCACCTGGCGTGTCAGATTAATCACCTCCATGTTCTCCACGGCGTTCCGTTTCATGATTTCGTACGACAGCTTCTCCTCCAGCTGACGACCGAGCAGTGTATTTTTTTCCTTTTCATTTTGAATTTCCTGAAATTGCGTGCGCGTGCAAGTCAGTAAAATTAGCCACCCTCCAACATCACACCCAAAGGTGTTAACTAACTATACCTATAGCGTGAAAATCAATAACACCTCTTACCTTATGCAAGAACTTGATGTTCATTTTCATTTTCACAAACTCCGACTCGTTGGCCATTTTTTCCGCCTTCAGAGTGTCACAGCTGCGGCACGCTTTCGCCGATTTTGGATTTCTTTTACCATATGAACAGGATCCTTCACCGTCGTCACCGTCGTCTTCCGTGGCCACACTCGAAGCTTCATCACGATCCTCATCGTAGCCAACTTCGTCGCCATTGTTTGACGATGCTGAAGATCTGGTCGTGATTTCCTCCTTCCGGTGACTCGGGCGTCGATGGGCGCTTTGCGATCGCACTTTATCGCCGTCACGCTTCTCACGTGACTCCTTCTTTTGGCTTTTTCTCAAAGCTTCCAGCTTTTCACGCAGCTCTTGGCGCTGCACTTCCAGGTCCTGCAATTTACTATGATTACTCCTCTGATCCGTTTTGGACCTGATACTCTCCTGACTGGACAGCCTCAGCAGCTTGGTCTTCAGTTTCTTGATCTGCTCTTCCTGTTCCTGGTAGCGCTTTTTCATGGAGAAATTTTCGTCACACAAATTTATATACTTATCCTCCAACTCTCGGCGGCTGAGCTTGGAAACCATCAGTCGATGATTGATCAAATGCCGCTGGCAGAGATCCATCGGCGCTCGGTAGTTCTCCGCGTACGGAGATGCACTCGCTGGACGTTTTTTCCTTAAAGTGATGAATCTCACATTTACAAATGCCCGTCACGGGAAAATTAAAATTCAAATACAATGACTTACATGTTTCGCTATCTACATCCCGGCCCATTTCCAATTTTTACATGTTAATGATACGTCCGATTCTAAAGATATAACACGGTCCAATGTTCTATAACCTTCAAGAAAATTACAAAATTTACCACTATGCACAATTTCGGATTCCATCCACTTGAGGGGAAAACTGGAAACCGATCTGATTATGATGCAGAATGTTGATGTTTTTATTTACCGGTTGCCACGGGCGACCGTTGGTGCAATCAAATTGTGCTAGAGGGTGGACACGAGCCGGCGTCACGTGCGCTGATCCAGGTGGTTATGGAGGCCACCACCACTCACTGATACGAGTGAGTGAGAGCATGCGGAATGCAAAATATATTTTGTTAGAATTGCAACTCATAAGGTGCTATCAGTTCCAATTTGGATTCTAAAGTTATATGCAGAGTTGCTTCCACTCATTGATATACAATTCGGAATTATGAAATCATTAGATGTTATGATATGTTTCACTTCTTAGTTACAAGAAGAGGTTGTAATGTATGCGTTGACACACAAAACTTATACTAATCAATATCATATCAATATCACATCGCAGAGGTAAAAAGGCTAACAAAGAGATGGATAAAGGACTTCATTATGAATTTAAATCCAAGGTTGCAGAACATATCGTTACAAAGGGGCACAATTTGACTAAGGATAACATTAATATCCTGCGGACTGTATCTTCGCCTTGGAAACTAGACGTGGCTGAAAGTTTAGAAATATTTAAACATAATCCATCAACATTGCTTAATAGAGATCAAGGAAACGGATACTCGAGACTCTTCAGCATCCTAAAACAACACATCGTAGCATGCATCTACCTGTTGGAGACTGAATTTATTTACCTGGTTAAGTAAATTTTGACCTATTAGTACCTATTGATTAGTATATAGCTCGTCGATAAAAGATGGATTCTTCAGTGGTGTTGAGTACTGATGAAGTCTGAAAGTAGTAGACGAAATACGCGTATCTGTCAAAAGATAAGCAATTATAACGGAATTTAAAGGAAATAAACCAACCCACTCAAAGCTCTTCATAAAGGGATTTCGTTAAGAGGTTCGACAAATTTAAAGGATTGACACAAAACTTGTCAATTTCGCTTTCAGAGCGTCACAATCAGTGATTTTACCATTCACTCAGACACAGCAAAAAATAAGGAATATTACGAGAAATCGTCGAATGACGTGCTTGTTTACATAAGCAATAACGTCCTAATCTCGAAGTTTTCCGGAAATATAATACGTATCAATGATGTATTGTAACTGGAAATGTCTTGTTCAGTCTACAGTGTTATAACATCACACTTAGATTTTTTGCCGAGATTGGCACCACCGAGCAGGCTCGGCATTTATTTTTACTGAGATCTCAAGAAAATTTATGTTTGTTAGCCGAGATCTCGGCAAAATTCCCGTTTGTTAACTGAATTTCGGCAAATTTTTCACTGAGATCCAGCAAAATAGGTGCCCATCTAGGCAAAAAAAATCTAAGTGTGTGTTACAAGCTGGATACTACAGACTCACCCAATGTGCACACTTAATCTAGCTCGATAAAATCTCCAACAGCCGATTACCTCGGCATTTACTTTTGCTCATATCTCTGCAAAAAATCTGAATGTTAGCTGATATCTCAGAAAAATGTTGTTTGTTAGCTGAGTCTCGGCAATTGTTTTTCTGAATCTCAGCAAAATAAATTGCCGAACTGCTCGGTTGTTGGAATCTCGGCGAAAAAATTTAAGTGTGTGCTTGTCACTTGGGAGCCAGTGTGAACTGTCAAATGGGAACCAAACATTCAGAAGCAACAAATGAAGTTATTATTCTTATCTATCGTCAAGCATTGAAAGCTCATAAAAGTGATCAATACTCTTTCAGAACACATTCTCAATTTTAAGAACAATGGTAAAATACATCAGGCTCAGCGATGAAAGTATTACAAGCAGCTGATTGTTCAATTGCAATAAAACAAACTTTTGCAAAACATGTGTGTAAACCAATTTTGATAAATTTACAGGGGCTCGAGCACTCCTCGCTTAGAGCTTTTGGCGGGAATCAACTGAGACAGAGGAAAACAGAAGAGCAGCAAATCAGTCCGCATCGTGCTCTCTTGCCGTGCGGATCTATTTGCTTTTTGCTTAAGGAAGTGCTACTACTACCTAAAGCTACAACAAATGTAAACAGCACTTTTCAGTGCTCAACCTGTAAAAATTTGTCTACCGTGTTCAACTCTTATTCCTCTTCGATCCTTGTTTGGACCCTACCCGAGGTAATCCTTCTTGGATATCGATTTGGAAAATTCCTCTTCGATCCTTCAGATTCTTATAGTAATCTGCTTGGAAGTCGATTTGGATAAAAATTTACTGCCGCCATGGCGCCTAAACGCAAAAGAAAGGGGCAAACTCTTGACCCCCCTTCTGATGAAATTAATTTGAGTAATCAATTTGATTTGCTCACGGATGATGAGAATGATCCATCATCCAAGAAAAATTCTAGTAAACTTTCCCGGCTTAATGCCAAGAAGGAAAAGATTCCCCCTATTGTGATAACCACTTCCGATTTCCATGCTCTTCGCATGGAACTTTTGAATTTCGTGAAAGTTAAGTTTTCACTACAAGTTGGACGTCGGGCATTCACCGTGTATTGGCTGAAACCTTGGACGGATTTAAATGTCTTTTTTTTTTTTTTTATCTAGTTCGTTTATTTGGAAGGCTCAATCGCGTTAGCTTTACGGAGCCGATAATTCATTGTTCACTGTGTGTAACAAAATTCACTTAATTCTATGTCTAGTAGGAGTTGGGCCGATTACTCGCGGCTTACTCGAGGTTAGAAGGGTACATTTTCGAAGGATAGGATCAGGGGAGGGGCTTGGGGTAGGGTTTCGTTGTCTCATCAGAGCGTTGTCGCCAGTATGAACGGTAGTGCTGTTCTAGCTTCGTCTGGAGTTCGACCGGCTATGGTGGGTGACCAGTGGGCGACGATGAGACTCATCGAGACGGGGGGACAAGACAAACAAAAACTAATAAAGAGAGACAAAAGACAAAAGGAATTAAATTCTTATACTAGACATTTGAAGAAAAACATAAACGGACTGCATATAGCAGAGATCACGGGTTGCCAACACGTCTCTGATAGGAACATAGGGTTGTCTTCCTTGGGCCTCGAGGGTATTCAAAAGTCGCTCTCTGGCGGCGTCATTATCCGTACATTGCCAAACTGCGTGTTCGATGTCATCGTAACCGTTTCCACACCGACAGATGTTGCTGTCCACGAGGTTTATTCTATTGAGATGAGCATCTAGCGAGTAGTGGTTGGACATAAGTCTACTCATCACGCGAATGAAGTCACGACTTAAGTCCAAGCCTTTAAACCACGCTCTTGAAGAAACATTAGGAATAATTGAATGTAACCACCGTCCAAGATTTCCAGTGTCCCAATCGGTTTGCCAACTCGAAAAGGTACTCTGACGCACTAAATGGTAAAATTCATCGTGTGAAATTTGCCTGTCATACAATTCGCCTTCCTGTGCGCCCACCTTTGCGAGAGAGTCCGCCTTCTCATTGCCTGGGATTGAGCAATGTGAGGGGACCCATACAAAGGTAATCATATATGATCTTTCGACCAGCACACACATCTGCTCCCTTACCTTTGAAAGGAAATAAGATGAGTGCCTACCTTGTTTCATCGACCGAATAGCCTCAATCGAACTGAGACTATCCGAGAAGATGAATGGTCTGCGGGCATGTTGGAAATCATCCCCAATGCGAAGTTGATTGCTGCCAGTTCAGCAACAAAAACGGAACAAGGTTCCTGGAGTTTGCGGAAGGCGCTAGAATTTTCATTGAAGACACCGAAGCCAGTGGATCCACTGAGACGAGACCCGTCTGTAAAATATCTGTTTACGCAATTGACGTGTTGGTACTTTTCAGTAAAAATACGCGGGATAATAATAGTTCGAAGTTGATCTGGAATCCCGTTAATCACTTGTTTCATGGACAGATCATATTCAATTGAGGAACTGCGATTGGTGAAGTGAGCACGGTCTGGAGTATAACAAGGAAGACACATATCCGACGATATGTAGTGGTGGTAGATTCTCATAAATTGAGATTGTGAATTCAGCCCAAGAATTTCTTCAAAATTTGCAATTATAAGTGTGTTCGTCACTCCGCATTTGATTAGTATTCTGAGAGAGAGCTCCCAGAAATGGTTCTGGAGGGGTGTTACTCCTGCCAGAACCTCGAGACTCATGTTATGCGTTGAGTGCATACAGCCGAGAGCAATACGCAGACAACGATATTGAATTCGTTCCAATTTTATTAGGTGACTTTTTCTTGCCGAGAGAAAGCAGAAAGAGCCGTAGGGTTTTTGATCTAATTTCCGTCCTACTAAGCACAACGCTCACTTTACCTCTCTTTTCTGAACGAGTTTTAACTAAAAATGGAATATTTCTGTCAAAGATGACTTCTAAATTTATTCACCTTTCCATACAAACCGTTGGATTTGACAAAGAGTCACATATTGTTGAGATATTGTATACAATCTAATACTGCTTCTTGATTCTAAATTCGTTCTACGAGTTTCAATTCCGTTCAAACGCATTGAAACGCCATTAGATTTTCTTCGTCCTACGGATAAACGTAGAAAAAGGGGATTAGCTAGGAGCGCTTCTTTTGTTTTGAGAACAATGAGCGTAAATATTCATACAATGGGTTTATGTTGTAGCTAATGAACTAACGCTTCGGAACAAACCTATTATTGATTTGTGCACGGTGAAATCATTGATATTATTGATCTTTTCTGATCGATAGAACGGAAATGGGCGATTACGACGAAGTAGCGCTCTACCCTACTCTAGAACAGAGAGAATAGTTGTTTTATAAAGCGTTATGAGGTCTCCCGGATGAGAACCCCACCATGTGCCGCAAATTGAACGGAGAAAGTTGATCCTCTGCTGACATTTTTGCTTCAAATACGTAATATGGGCATTCCAAGTGCACTTTGAATCAAACCAGACCCC